GAGAAATTAACTCCCTTCACAATGAGATTTTGTTGGGGAAAATCTTATAAAGCATGTGATAGTTATGCGTGGTCAAAGTTCAGTTGACTTCTCCTAAGGAAAACCTAATTTGGCAACTTTTGACTTTTAATGATCTGAGGGATTTTCTTGAGGAATCATGATCAACCCTTGATCAAATGATGAATGTTACTTTAAAATGTTGATGTTGACCAAAAATCTTGAAGTTTAGCTATACGTTGACCACAATTACCTTTTTACCAAATACCTTTGATTTTCAGCCATCTGAGCCATGGACTAAGCAAACTTGTGATGCAAGGCTTGAAACTCTGTATGAGCATTATTGAATGCATATGAGGACCCATGAAAACCACTTGACACCTTGGAATTCCAATCTTCCTTGAGAAATACCAAACCCTAGTTGTGGACCCATTGCTTAGGAGGAGAATTTGTCTGATCAATTCTTGAGTCACCTTGAGCATTTGAGAACCTTTTGGGAATGTCTTGAAGAAAAATGGGAGGGAAAATTTTGAGGTACGACATATGCCCCTGTTCAATCTTCTTAAATCTTAAGAGTTATATTGGCATGTCCTCCTTCCGTGACTTTGAAGGTAGAAGATGACTGAACACTTAAGTGCCCAGAAATTTGCACTCTCCTGTGCACGAAGTAACACTGTTGGTCGATTATACCGAGAATGGGCTTAAAGATGCCATTTGGAGAGGTGACGGAGAGTCGTCAGAGATGATCTTATAGATTCTATCCAGAGTAGCTGTTGATAGGAATATCAGAATAAGTATACTCCTGACTTTGTCTTAGAAGATGTATTTGGAATGAGTCTATGCACGACTTTGTCCAAAAGAATATCAGAGTGAATATAGGCTTGATTTTATCTGAATGATGCACTAGAATGACTTTACGATTGACTTTGTCTAGAAGATACATTTGGAATGAGTCTATGCCGGACTTTTCCAAAAATAATATCAGAATAAATATATGCTTGATTTTATCTGAATGATGCACTAGAGTAAGTCTACGCTCGAATTTGTCTAGAAGATATGTTTGGAATGAGTCTACACTCGACTTCTTCCAAAAATAATATCAAAAGAAAATTTACACCTGACTTTATCTGAATGATGCACTAGAAGATGTCTACGCCCAACTTCATCTAAAAGAGATATTTTCCTGAATGAATCTCTGGGGAAAGTGCTTTGTCAGAATTTAATTTCTGAAGGAAATTGTCTGGTCATGTAGGTAGTCGCCCTGTCCTATTTCAGGAATTACTCTGTGACAAATTGTTGATGATGTTTGTCTGTTTGTGAACTTTACCTGAAAAGATAGAGTTAGAATTTATGCAATGTCATGATGTATGTAGTGCATTGCATAGTGATGTTCTTAAAGAAAATGAGAGTGTGCTATATGCATTTCTTATGCATATGCTATGATAAATCTGTGCTATAATATTTTTGATTGGAAAAATAAATCCCTGATTGTTGCTGGGGATGACGAATATAATGCCTCTGCTGGGAATTTCTGCTTTCTGTTTGAGGAAACTGCGCTGGGGAATTTGATTTCTGCTTGGGGAGAAAAGTTCAAGAACATTGGTCGTTCATCGCTCTATTGGGGAATTGAATTCTTATATACCCTGATTAGGGATAACAAAGATGGAAAATCTTTCGAGGTGCTATCTAACTGAGTTTCTGATATGGATGCCGACTCATTTTGGGAGGATACAATTAACTGATATCTGGTCTGATTTTAGATTTCGTAACAACTCTCTGAGGATAGTGGTCTGGACTACCCTTTGTTAGAGAGAGAAGTTTTGTCGGGGATTTGTAGCAGTCAAAGTGATAGACTCAAGTTGGGGAGATTGTATTTTGTTGGGGAAATAAACCCTGTTGGGTAAATAAACCCAATTGAAGAAACACTCTGCTAAGGAAATTAGCCCTAGTGGAGAAGAGAAATCTGCAGGGGATTTTACAATGTTGGAGAAATAAACTCAGTTGGGAAAGAGAATTTCTATGAACCGTACTGGTGACATATTCTCTTATGAGGATTGGGATTTCGTAGATTGGCGACATTGTCGGGAGAAAGATCATACTCCTTTGTCCACTACGGGGATCTGCTGGTGAGTATCATTAGGATATTTCAGACTTGCGGTGAAAATATATTTGTTGAAGATGAGCTTGTGAAGCTGACTCTGTGGGGGATAATCTTATGGAAACTTCTCTGTGAGGACTATCTCATGGAGGTTGTTCTGTAGGGATCTGTGGATGACTTGAACGTTATCCCAACTTCTAGAGTCTTGAGTAAATGCTTATTCTTGTTTTCATGCATATATTTGTTAATAGTAATCATATTCATATGCATATGTTCATTCAAATTAGTCATTGGACGTTTTTGCAAACAAATCAGAAAAAATAAAACAAAATTTGAATTTTGAAATTCTGTTATATTGATAGTTTTCCTATAAACAGTCGATTGTTGTACAAAGAGACAGAAATCCTAGTAAGAGGAAATCGTTGTGAAATGAAGAGAGTGCAAAGTGAAAACGAAATATATAGCTATATGTAAATGATCTCGTCAGGTTTCAAATATGTTATTTCCTATATGTCTTCGAGCATCTTATCCCTCGTTGTCGGAAAAAGATGATTGAATTGATCTGCACCATTCAAACTTAATATTGGCAATAAAGCTGTTTGTAAGTGATCCAATGGGACATAGTCGTACACTTTAATCCCTAATTTTTGCTTGGACTTCCCTTTCGGGTTTTCAGTCCATCGGGATAACCTTTTGTGCCCAAGCCGCCTTTTCAAGTTTTCGACTTACCGGGTGTACAGTCTTTTGTACATATATCCCTGATTTTTTCCCGAACCCTTTTGGTTCACCGGGATGCCCTTATTTTTGCCTAGTCCAGTCAACCTAGCCGGTCGTTTTTTATGCGTAGTATCTTTTAACTATGTTCGCGTTCAGAGGGTGTGGAAGATCTTCACTGTCCATGGTGGTAAGTATCATAGCATCGCCCGAAAATATCTTCTTGATCATAAATGGCCCTTTGTAGGTGGGGGTCCATTTTCCCCTCGGATCACCCTGCGGTAGGATGATGCGCTTTATTAACAAGTCACCAGCCCGATATACCTGATGCCTGATTTTCTAATTGAAGGCTTTGATCATACGCTTCTGACACACCTGACCGTGACAAACAGCCACAAGTCTTTTCTCATCAATCAAATTCAACTGATCCAGCCTAGTCTGAATTCATTTGTCTTCATCTAAATATGCCTCTCTCATGATCCTTAGGGAAGGAATTTGAACTTCGATAGGTAGGACAACCTCAATACCATAGACTAGAGAGAATTGGGTGGCCCCAACTGATGTCCAAGATGAAGTGTGATAACCATGGAGAGCAAATGGTAACATCTTGTACCAGTCTTTATACGTTATTGTCATCTTTTATATAATCTTTATAATTTTCTTATTAGCGGCTTCCACTGTGTCATTCATCTTTAGTCGATATGAAGAAGAATTATGGTGCTTGATCTTGAACTACGTGTAGAGTTCGTGATCATAGTTCTTGCACCCCAAAATTTACCATCTTGATTTCAGAATTATTTAGGCTTATGTTTCATCATAATCATCATATTGCATTGCATTCATTTCTTTATGATGGGATCAAGTAATTTTGGTTCTCAAAGTTGTGGAAGATGGTTGTATTGCTAATCAATGTGAGGAGGTTCTCATATTCTCTTCCCTTTGATCATTCAAGCTACCAGGGCTTCTCGTACCTCAAGGACATCATCAATTTGTCTTTTAGTTCATCTGAATGTTGGAAACTGCAAGTATTCAAGGGTGATATTAGGGTCCATTTGGTTCATGATCATCAATTGAAGATTGGGCACATTTCTTGGTCGATGATATAAGTAGTTTACTTTGAGTTTAATTCAATAAGTTTGAAATTTGAATTTGAAGTTTGCCTTTGATTATCTTAAGAGAAGTATCATTTTAATTCAAGATTCGTACAAGAAACATATCTTTATTATTTTTATGATTATTCGAGTTTTCTCTCAAAATTCATTAATTATCATGCCAATGACAAATTCACTTGGATTCAAACTCATTGAAAAATGGCATTCTTCCCATCAAAGGCAGTTACATTATGAACATTTACAAAAGGAAGTTTCAATTTGAAGCAAAGTGAAAAGGAAAGTATACATTCAAATTCAACACATTTGCAAAGTCATGATCATTACAAATCCAACATTCATTATTCAAGATACATTCATTCACCATTCTACAAATTCAAACCTCTAAGTTCATAATAATTACAACATTAAGTTCAAATTTTAAAATACAAGTTTTTCTTACAAAACCAAATAAAAAAGCATTCTAAATCCTATGGCAAGTTCTCCAAGATTTCTTCTTCTTCAAGCTTCTTACTTCATGTTTTCCATACAATTCCTTCTATGGCAACCACGATCTCATTTTTACCTTGCCTTCTTCATATTCCTCTCATCCTTGCTCGTGAAATAAGAGAAAAGAAATGTTTACCAAGCAAACAAAAACATTGAACAAGAAAGTGAGAAAAGAAACTTTTCAAAGAGATTTTCATAAGTTCATCACTAGGGTCTTGTGATAGGAATCAGAATTAAGGGATGGTTTTCGAATCATGTTCAAGCAACACCAAGGCCTCATACTTTGTTTCAACAAATCATAATATAATGTTTTATCATGGGCCTATTTTCTCCTCTTGCAAATCACAAAAGGCATGTTTGGTTCACAAAGGGAGATTCTAAGGAGAATTTACTACGCAAGTAAAATCAAAATTTCATCATAGTTAGCAGTACAAAAATTTCATTTTCAAGCCCAGTATAACATCAAGGTTCAGCAAGTAAAAGCAAAGTCAGAATCGCATTTCCAGCCCAGTAAAATCAAGTTGATGCAGTAACAAATTTTCACAGGAAATCAACAAGTGCAAACAAAATCACAAATTCAAGTCGAATAACAGATGACAAAACTGAACAATAACATATCAGAGTTTCAACCCAATGCAAAGTTCACATCTCAAAAAAACAAGACTGCAGTAACAAATTTTGACAGGGGCCACAAACAAAAACAGATATCAGAAGCCCAATATGGAAACAAATTTCTCACAGGCCTATTATCAATCATTGAACCAACACATTCAAAACCCTAATTGTATCACTATATAAGCATTCATCTGCATAATTTAAAATAAAAAAAAGAACTGTCCACAAAAAATCAAAAGTTGTGCATCTTTCAAAACCCTAGAAAACGCTAATCTCATTCTCCTTCAGAAATCAAAACTTGCTCACAAAAGTAATAACATCAGCAAGCTATCAAGCTAACCCGAACCCTAAGTTATTATCATCTTCACTATAACACAAAACCTTTGAAAATGTAAAAAGATTGAAATTTTTGAATCATAAAGAAGAAGAGGAAGAGATTTTTGTAGCAAAACAGAAAGATCTCACTGGAGTAAGCTCAAAATTCCGCGTTATCATCAACGATCGCACATCATCATCGCCAATTTTCATGAATCTGAGGCTAGGGTTTCGAAAACCCCCTTTCAGTTCTACACAGATTCGTTCATCATCTGTAAAATCTAATCCCAGATTAGTGTTCAAAAGAGAAAAAGGAAGCAAGGGATGTAAATAGATCGAGAATCGGATCAAGATTGGATTTTTCCTCCGTGGTCTTCTTCACTGCCATCGTGCGCCATTGCAAATCTTTATCCAAGCTTCCATGGAGATTCATAGCAACCACCGCGCCAAATCCTGCGCTGGTGATTTTCAATATCTCTGTTTTTGTTATAAGAAAGAGGGATAAGAGATTTAAGATTAAGATAGAGATATTTTTCTATTTTTTATTAAAATTCTGGTTCTAATTTTTGTTTTGTTAATTTTTTTTGGTTTAGCAACTAATCTAGCGGTGACACTTGTCACCTCCGTAATGGTCACTTATTGAGTTTACGCAGGTGCATTCACCATAACTTTCATGATCTCCCACGTCATCACCGTTAGATCTGTATAGATCTAGATCCGATGACCTATAAGTGCATCTCCATAGTAGATCCTCAGAGGTTCTAGTCATCAGATCATCATATCTCGTGTGTGCCGGATCATCAAGCATATGATGCACGTTCATCCTCTCAACCATCAGATCTGGATCCAACGTTCCAGAGTGCACCTCTATGGTAGACCTCATGAGACTACTCGTACCAGATCACATAGACCTCTTTCTTGGGTCTGGACTCCTTTGCTTTCATGCACCCCCCAGATTACACTTCATTCAGGCCCATTTCTTTTTATTTACTTATATTTTCTTTTGTATAATTTTTTTTACATAATTTCGTTTATAACATATAAAAATACAAAAAAGAATATATAAACATTTCTTAAATAAATAATTAAACTAAAAAAATATTATTTTAATATTATTAATTATTTTGCTAATTAATTTTATTGAACAGTTTGTTTTAGTTTAATTAATTGTTTATTTTTAATTTGATTGTGTTATATTGATTGTTTCTTTAGACTTTTAATCGTATTGTCGATTCGATGCACCCCTCCCCCCTCCCCCCCCCCCCATTCATAAACTTGTACCCCCATTCCCATATGGTTTGTAATAACTTAGAATTTTATTTCCTTGTTATTTTCTTTATATGTTTAAAAAATGCTATTATATATATCTTGTTCAATTAAAATGCATGGCCTCCTCTTGGGCTCATCATCAATGAAAAGGTATCCACCTATAAATACATAATGGTACACATTAATAGTTTAATCCTAGGCTTTTCTACAGAGACAACTACTCAATCAATTATTCCAATTGGTCATTTAGAATACCAGTGCCACACTAGTCCCACTTTCAAGGAGCATGCATATAGCCACCTTGTATGGGCTTTTAATTTTTATCTTATGCATTGAAGAAACTCTCCTCTCTCCTCTTGGTCCACATACCAAGCTTTTCTTAAAAGGTCTCATAGTTGAGTTTGGGCATGGCCTATCTCACAAGATTAATCAAGTTTTGCCCTTGATTAATCATAACCTGAATCAATCACCTTGGTCCATATACCAAGTGTTTCCATGCACCAAAAGGGTATCATACTTGAGTTTGGGCATAGCCATTCTCACAAAATTAATCAAGTTTTTCCCTTGATTAATCATAACCCGAATCAACCACTTTGGTCCATATACAAAGTGTTTCCAAGCACAAATGGTCTCATGGTTGAGGGTAGGAGCACCTACTCTCACGATATTAATCAAGTATACCCATTGGTTAATCATAACCCGATTCAACTCCCATATACCAAGAATTCAATTTATATTATGGACACTTGTGCTATGATCTTATGATCGATTGACGATGCAACACATGTATGCCTAATTGATGGTTGATTGAGAAGGTTCAAGGAGGCGTTTGTATAGTTTTCTTATATCATGCGCTCTGAAGAGGAAATGGACCTACTTCGTTAGGTATCATCATGACTTCATTTTCGCATTTTAATGATTTCTAGAGATCATGTTAAGTAGGATTTTACCGCTTTTATTGCCATGTCAAGCAAGAATAGAGATGCATGAAAGGGACCTCTGTTGCTGATATTTGTCAGGAATCTCTCTGGTTTATTTAAAGACCTGTTTAAGGAAATTCACATATGTGCCTTCTTTTCTAATTGTGTTTGTTTAAAATCTTACCTTTGAGTAGGTATTCCGCAGGTGTGTTTACATTTTTGTTCGCATATCCCCCACCCTAATAAGTCCTCAAAAGGAGGCGCACGAAAAGGGTCTGTAATCGACCCTCTCACATTATAGTCTATGTCATCCTTAGATCACGTTGTACATTGATGCTTCGGAGTTATGCAGATCTTTTGTATCGAGTCATTCAAGTGGAGAAGGGTTCACAACCAACCCTCACACTTTGTCAGGAGTTTGCAATGGCCATTGCTGATACTTCGCTACCCGCTTGTTTGCTTTGGGTGATACGCTCCCCTTAGCTAAAGTAATGCTTTTATTTTTTATTTCATCTTAGTCTCCCACTTGTTTGCTTTGGGTAATCGGCTCCCCTTAGCTAAAGCATTTTATCTTCATACCCTCATCCCTGAAGTTAGTATATACTGTTTGTGTGCTTTTTCCAGAGCACTTGTTCGCTTACTTGTTTGTTATACCATACTTCCCTTAGGATCACTCGATTAGAGTAGCATTCGAGTTAGAAGTTAGGATAGGTATCCATGCATGCTAACATAGTGTAGAAATTTCCCTTTCAAAAATAAACCTTAGGGCCATCATTGTATGATTACACTAGGGCTAGAGATTAGGATAGTCTCCCTTAGTTGTTTTCTTTTCTTTGCATATTGCATATTAAAACAAAAACTTTCTTTTTCTTGGCAAATCATAAAACATCTCTAATGAACTTAAATCCTTCTTCAAGGTAAAAAATACAAACCAATCTTAATTTTTTGTAGACCTTTTGGTTCTGTTTTAAATCTTGTTAAGTTAATACCTTACCTCCTTTACCATGACATTTTTGCCGATATTTAGCCATCCCATATGTTTGTTATCCTACTTTGATTTTCAATATCATCGTCAGGTGTGATGTTTTATCATCTAAATTGATGTTTCTCCATCCTTGCCATGATGTTTTGTTATCTTTGTGTCGATATTTCTCAATCGCGTATGTTTGTTATCCTACTTTGATTTTCAATATCATTGTTAGGTGTGATGTTTTATCATCTAAGTTTTGATATATTGTCATCTATTCCATGATATTTTACTATCATTTTACCGATGCTTCGTCATCGGATATGTTTTTTATCCTACTTCGATTTTCAATATCATTGTTAGGTGTGATGTTTTATCATCTTATATGATATTTTACTATCATGCTGATGTTTTATCATCTTATTCGATAATTTGTTATCAAGTTGATGTGTTATCATCTTATCTGAGTTTGTGTTGCCATGTGATTTCTTGTCGTCCTTGTTTTGATGATTTATCATCGTTGTTGATGTTTCGTCATTTTATCTGATGTTTTTCCATTTTGATTATCACTTTTGTCTTTTTAACTAAACAAACACAAACCAAACAAAATATATTAGCCGAACTAAGACTGCTCTGATTCCTTAAAATGGATATGTAGGCGGAGGCTTTTGTGGGGCCTAATCGAGCATATCTTTGTCAATATTCCTTTCTTTTCCCCACATTTTCTTTGCATATATTCCCTTTTAAGCTTTAAACCTTAGATATAGATTTTTACCATTCCCTTATATTATAAAAACAATAGTGGATACTGTAGAGTACTACGGGCGTGTGGGGTGCTAATACCTTCCCTTTGCATAACAGACTCCCTTACCCTATTTCTACGGTCGTAAGACCGTGATTTCATCCCTTCAGGTTTTCTCGATGTTTACCTTTCCCTTTCAGTTTGATAAAAACATCTAGTGTCGACTTTATTGATACAGTTATCAGATGACTGTTTGGATGGTTGTTTCAACTGACGACTTCACTGGGGAATAAGATTGACCAATTGTTGGTCCATCTCAGAGTCGTTCTTAACTCTTATTTTCTTTTCTTTGGGTGTTTATTTTTATGCTTTCAGTTTATTCATTTGTACATAATTATCTGACCATATATGTGCATTACATTTTATCGCTTTCCATATTTGGATATTTGTTGTGGTGGCTCTGCTTTCATGTTGGGTGGGTGTTACTATGAGGTAAAAGACCCAATACCCCGACCAAGTGACAACCATAAGAACACTAGGGATAAAGTGGAACATTACGTCTAGTTAATTTAGGTTTCACTAGTGCAGTCATGTCATCCATGCTCAGTTGAATTATAAATGAGGTGTTATCGTTTCACGTAGGTGTTTCGACGATAGTGGCCTCAGGTGGACCCATGATTCTGAGTAACCTGTGCCTTACCCTAACCTAGTTTCGCCCGTGAGTAGGGAGGGAATATTGATTCTTTTAGGTACAAGTACCATTGGTGACTTTGTTTCTGATGGTGATTATGGTTCTGATGGTAACTATGGTTCTTTTGGTGTATGTTTCGGACCTTTGATCTTGTTTCGTCTGGTTATTTAAAAGCAAGTTCAGCAGCTATCTATTATGATGGGGAGACTTTGATCCCTTATTGTTGCTGATCTTCATGGTACTTGGTTCTCTTATGTTCCGAG